TCAACACCAAAGGACTCACACAGGAGAGAAACCTTTTGAGTGTTCTTTCTGTGGGAAAGGTTTCAGTACCAATTCCAACCTTATTAGTCACCAGAGGCTTCATACAGGAGAGAAACCCTTTAAATGTCCTGATTGCGGGAGATGTTTTAGTACCAATTCCATCCTGGTGATACACCAGAGAATTCACACAGGGGAGAAACCCTTTGAATGTCCTGATTGTGGGAGAAGTTTCAGTCGGAATTCCAGCTTGGTTCAACACCAGAGGACTCATACAGGAGAGAAACCCTTTGAGTGTTCTCACTGTGGGAAAGGTTTCAGTACCAATTCCAACCTTATTAGCCACCAGAGACTTCACACAGGAGAGAAACCCTTTAAATGTCCTGATTGTGAGAGAAGTTTCAGTCACAACTCCAGCCTGGTAATACACCAAAGGACTCACACACCAGAGAAACCGTTTGAATGTCTTGATTCTGGAAAATGTTTCAATCTGAATTCCCATCTTATTAATCACCAGAGGATTCACACAGGAGAGAAACCCTTTGAATGTCCTGATTGTGGGAAAACTTTCAGTAAGAGTTCCCACCTCATTAGCCACAAGAGGATTCACACAGGAGAGAAACCGTTTGAATGTCCTGATTGTGAGAAAAGTTTCAGTACCAATTCTAGCCTATTGATGCATCTGAGAACTCATACAGGAGAGAAACCCTTTGAGTGCCCTGACTGTGGGAAACGTTTCACTAAAAATTCCAACTTGCTTCAACATCAGAGGACTCACACAGGCGACAAACCCTTTGAATGTCCTGATTGTGGGAAAAGTTTCAGTCAGAATTCCCGCCTGGTGATACACCAGAGGACTCACACAGGGGAGAAACCTTTTGAATGTCCCGATTGTGGGAAATGTTTCAGTCATAATTCCCACCTTATTAATCACCAGAGGATTCATACAGGAGAGAAACCCTTTGAATGCCCTGATTGTGGGAAAAGTTTCAGTACCAATTCCAGTCTAGTGGTACACCAGAGAACTCACACAGGCGAGAAACCCTTTGAATGTCCTGATTGTGAGAAAAGTTTCAGTATCAATTCCAGCCTGGTGGTACACCAGAGAACTCACACAGGCGAGAAACCCTTTGAATGTCCTGATTGTGAGAAAAGTTTCAGTACCAATTCCAACCTGGTGATGCACCTGAGAACTCACACAGGAGAGAAACCCTTTGGGTGTCCTGACTGTGGAAAATGTTTCACTAAAAATTCCAACTTGGTTCAACATCAGAGGACTCACACAGGAGAGAAACCTTTTGAATGTCCTGATTGTGGGAACAGTTTTAGTAAGAAGTCCCACCTTATTAATCACCAGAGAACTCACACAGGAGAGAAACCCTTTGAATGTCCTGTTTATGAGAAATGTTTCAGTGATAATTCCAGCTCGTGATACACCAGGGAAGTCACACAGGAGAGAAACCATTTAAAACCATTGTGATTGTGGGAGAATTTTCAGTCACAATTCCAGCCTGGTGAGACACCAGAGAACTCACACAGGAGTGAAACTTTATGAGCGTCCAGAATGTGGGAAAGATCGCAGTAGTAGGATTAATCTTCTAAATCATATGCTTATACACACAGGGGAGAAACCATTTAAGTGCCCCAAGTGTAGAACATCCTTCAGGAAACATCCCGCCCTTATTGCACACAAGAAAATCCACCTGAGGCCCTAAGTGATGAGTGTAGAGAAGGTTTGAATTTCTTTTATAGTCCCATTGTAAGTACAGTTGAGAAATTTAATTTGACTGTAAAGAATTTGCCTGATATTCGTAGGCAAATATCTCATGATATTAGATGGGAAGGAGAAAAGAAGAAATCGCAACATATTAGTTTGATAATGGCTATTTGGCCATCAGCAGCAGAAGTTGCTGGATATTTCTTTTTGCAGAAATTGTGCAATTACGTAAAAATATTTTGGGAGTGTTCTTTGCATTTTTATCACGGTAGATGATAGAAATGCCACATACAGAGTCCCAGCCTTTTTCTTCCTTGCCTGCCCCATGATTTTTAGCCGCAGAATTCTCCAGCCAGCATCTCTTGGGGATATGAGCACTCATACTATAGTTAGAGATTGTGGCTCCTCCTATAATGAGAAAGCAAGAGAAGAAGCAGAAGGGTTTCAAAGTTCATCTTTTCCAAACAGTTCCAAGAATTCAGCGCACCAAGCATGTCTGTTCAGATTGTGTCAAGAATGAGGCACACCAGTGGAAGTTACCATATGAGTAGAAAATATATTGGGGAGTTTGGGGCAGTGACAAACCCAGGGTAAAATTTCAGATGTACAGACTGTTGTGCCTTGCAGGTGACCTTCATGGAGAAGAGCTGTAGGAATATTGAGTTGAGGAGAAAAGGAATTGTAGTTTTGACCACAGGATCTCCATCTATAATCGCAACTCCTGCTGTGATCTCCTTCGCTTGCAAGTGATTTCGAATTTAAACATTTAAACTTATGCAAAATTTCTAAAATTTAAAATAGTGTGTGTGTGTATGCGTTGCGAGGTGGTGTTGGGATAATTGAATGGAG